AACCTGATCGTCTATGTAGCCCGAGCATCGCCAGCCGCGTTTGCGCCAGGGGCGCATGACCTCTCGCATGAGCTTCGTGAACGCCCAGCAAGCGGAAGCGAGGCCGGAAGGCAGTTGTGTGAACACATAGAAGACCCCTCTCCAGCAGAAGCCGAGATATTCCCAGAACCTGGGATCGATATCGAGGTGATGATAGCCGCTTTTAAGGTCCAAAGTAAAAAGATAATCGCCTGGGAGTAGCCAACCAGGAACCGCCTTCAAGTCTTCGTAGCGGAAGGAGGGGACGTGCAAATAATCATTTACCAGCCTGCCGTCCCAAATAAGCCGGAGCTTGGTTGCCTGCTGCATGACCCCCAACGGGCAAACCACGCGGGGCTGCGACGGCCATACGCGGGCCGTGCCCGACGCCACCAGATCTGCTACGGCTTTGTCCACGAACGCGGTGTTGGCGGTTGCCCAAGCGTGATTGCGGCCGGAGTGCTGGGGGGGGAGGGCTGGAGACCCAACGGAGTGGGAAACCCGACGTGATCCACGAGATGACCAGCGTGTTCACAACCCAAGCCATCCAAGCGCCTTTCTTGCCCGAGAGGCGTCCCCTCATCTGAGGCGGCACGCAAGGCGGACCCGCTACTGGAGTCGACCGAGATCCCGAGGTGTTGTCGAAAGTAGGACTAGAAAACTCCCCTTTATCCTTCCAGAATTCACCGGGGGCCTCAACCTTCACACCTTCTGGCGCCACCGCGGGGCGGGCGGGTTGTTTCCGATGCATGGCCAGACTTGCCGGAACTGGTGTGGGGTCCAGGTTTGGCCGACGGGCAGGGACGGGGCCCGGTGCGGGCCGTTTGGGGGCTGGTAAGTCGTCAGGGGCTGCGGTAGGTGGGCCGCGCGGCTGACCTAAAAGATGCTGCCCTTTGAATTGGCTGGCGTTGTGACTGATGGACAGCTGGACGTTTTCCACAAGGCCCGGACTCGAGAGGGCCTCTACCCCTAGCTCGGACAGGAAGGCAATAGCATCATCGTGCGAGAACGAATCCATGGTTCCTCAGGCTGGAAATTACTGGCGGCTATGAAGGCCTGCAAGCGTGCACCGGACAGACTGTGGGAGACACGGGCGAGGCGAGAAGCGGAGCAACGCTTAAAGAGTAAGACAGGCAAAAAACGGGTCCCCAGCCGGCCGGCTGCCAAGGCGACTTGAGTGGCCACTTGGCCTGACGCGAATTATCCGATAAGGGAAAAAATAAAACGGCAAATGCTGCCACAAAGTGAACCCATGCGACGGTCTGTTCGCAACCTCAAAATGCGAACGCGAAATAAAGGAGAAAAGCGGGAAGGCAAAACACCGCGAGTAAAAAAGGTCATCAACGAAGCTTACAACTGTGCACGCGGGCGCCAACAACTGCGCACGCGGGCGCCAACAACTGCGCACGCGGGCGCCAACAACTGCGCACACGGGCGCCAACAACTGCGCACACGGGCGCCAACAACTGCGCACACGGCACCAACAACTGTGCACGCGGGCGCCAACAACTGCGCACGTGGGCGCCAACAACTGCGCACGCGGGCGCCAACAACTGTGCACACGGGCGCCAACAACTGCGCACACGGGCGCCAACAACTGCGCACGCAGGCGCCAACAACTGCGCACGCGGGCGCCAACAACTGTGCACGCGGGCACCAACAACTGCGCACACAGGCGCCAACAACTGCGCACACAGGCGCCAACAACTGCGCACGCGGGCGCCAACAACTGCGCACGCGGGCGCCAACAACTGCGCACGCGGGCGCCAACAACTGCGCACACGGGCGCCAACAACTGTGCACACGGGCACCAACAACTGCGCACGCGGGCGCCAACAGCTGCCAACTATCGCGCACACGGGCGCCTCAATCGCACGCGCGGGTGCCCAAATCGATGCTCGCTGGCAATCTCATCATAACCAAAGAAGAAAGAAATCTTGTGCACTCTGCACTGACCGGCAATGGTCCTTGAAGAGAAGAAGCGGCACACGGGCCATAAAAAAAAAAAAAAGCCAGGCACACGGGCCCCACTCTACTGCACCAGAGCCTGAGAACCACTACTTGCCGCTGCGGCCTTCCTTGCGGTTATTGCCATTGCGATCGCTGCGATCAAGCGCTCTGCATCGCGACCTCCACCATACTCATGACCGCGCTGGCCGCAACCCCTGTGGCTGCTGCCGCGCGATCCGCCACCGCTGCCTCCGCCGCCGGAGCCTCCAGCGCCGCGAGAATGGCTGCCGCCAAGACTGCCAGGCGTGGAGGCGCTCGCCGTCCGCAAGGAACAGTCATTCTGTTTCCGCACGAGGGCCTCCGCTTTTTCACCTTTTGGGATCCGTGTGCCGATAATGTTGTTAAAGCAGTGATCTCTGCTCATTAGCCATAAAATCCGCGCGAAACTCATCTGCCTGGAACGGTGGCTACGGACTCTGTCGATGGCGCATTGTCATTAATAGTTGAAATTTGAAGGAACTAAGTCGGAACCGTAGGAACTCGAGCGATGTAGATCGGAACTTGAAATGGTAAGGCTTCAAGTACAGCCTGTCACACTGACTATTGGACAAGGCTGTATGCTCTTCTGCGTGAAGGCAGAATGACTTCACCAGGAGAGCAGCGAGAATTAAGTCGCCACTGCGAACCAGTTGTACGACAGTACCACAGAACCAGCCTTAGAAGCTCCGGTCGCTTCGCTCCGTCGCGTCTAAGCCAACAAGGGGCTTTCACAGCTATGAAGCACAACCCAATAAGCAGGACATGCCTCGTGAAACGATGTCTACGTATGATATTGAGCCAAAAGATGTTAACATGTGCGCATAACAATAGGCTCATTCATACAAAGCCCGAAGCCCGAGAATTAACAACAAGCAGGCAGAGCAAACACGTCCTTTGGAAGGAGTAGCTGAGAGAGGTGATCCTATGGACCACCATCCACACTGGCAGCGAAGCAGAGACCTTCAATGCCATAAATACCAGGGGCTTTCGCAGCTATGAAGTACAACCCAATAAGCAGGACATGCCTCGTAACACGATGTCGACCTATGATGTTGAGCCAGTAACGTTAGCACGTGCGCATAGTAGAAAAATTATTCATAAAGTTTCCGACATTTAACCTACTAATATTTTATAAGGACGCATACCACGCGACTGCCTTTGGAAGCGTCCCTCAATGTCGTGCAGTTGGTTCCGGAGGAGGCGCGGACGCCATCCATACGTTTTCGTGTCTAGACCGTCCTCGTCAATTTTTGCAGATTGTTTTATCGCAATTTTACTGATCAGCAGACGCCTGTCAGAAGCATGGCTGGAGCTCCTGGAGCGTATGGCTTCCGTGATCAGGAGCATGAGCGCACACATCACACGCGACATCACTTAGTATGACATGGCATAGCAACTTTCTAACCCAGTCTGAACGGTAGCTGGATTTGATAGTCCTCCTACATAGCAGTATCCTAATTGCCAATCATTGCGGTGCCCTAATCTTAATCCAATACCAGTGTACTATCGTAATCCTGGATATAGGTATTTATCCTAATCCTGGGGCCGGGTCCCAATCCTAATCCTGGGGCCGGGTCGCAATCCTAATCCTGGGGCCGGGTCCCAATCCTAATCCTACACTCGGGTCCTCATCCTAAACCTGGCCTCAACTTTGTATCCTAATCCTGCCCCTCTTTCCAAATCCTAATTCCTGCCTGACCGGTACCCGAACCCAATCCCTAATCTTTGCATCCCTCTGACTGGGGTCCCAAGCTCTCAGAATCCCAGAGTGCCAGGCTCCCAGGCACATAGGCTGCCAGGCACACAGGCTCTTAGAATCCCAGGCTGCCAGGTTCCCAGGCTGCCAGGCACATAGGCACACAGGCTCTTAGCATCCCAGGCTGCCAGGTTCCCAGGCTCCCAGGCACACAGGCTCTCAACATCCCAGGCTGCCAGGTTCCCAGGCTGCCAGGCACACAGGCTCAGGCTGCCAGGTTCCCAGGCTGCCAGGCACACAGGCTCAGGCTGCCAGGTTCCCAGGCTCCCAGGTTCCAGGCACACAGGCTCCCAGGCACAAAGGCTCTTAGAATCCCAGGCTGCCAGGTTCCCAGGCTGCCAGGTTCCCAGGCTGCCAGGTCCCCAGGCTGCCAGGTTCCCAGGCTGCCAGGTTCCCAGGCTGCCAGGCCCCCAGGCTGCCAGGTCCCCAGGCTGCCAGGTCCCCAGGCTGCCAGGTCCCCAGGCTGCCAGGTCCCCAGGCTGCCAAGTCCCCAGGCTGCCAGGTCCCCAGGCAGCCAGGCACACAGGCTGCCAGGTTCCCAGGCTGCCAGGTCCCCAGGCTGCCAGGTCCCCAGGCTGCCAGGTCCCCAGGCTGCCAGGTCCCCAGGCTGCCAGGTCCCCAGGCTGCCAGGTCCCCAGGCTGCCAGGTCCCCAGGCTGCCAGGCCCCCAGGCTGCCAGGTCCCCAGGCTGCCAGGTCCCCAGGCTGCCAGGCCCCCAGGCTGCCAGGTTCCCAGGCTGCCAGGTCCCCAGGCTGCCAGGTCCCCAGGCTGCCAGGTCCCCAGGCTGCCAGGTCCCCAGGCTGCCAGGCCCCCAGGCTGCCAGGTCCCCAGGCTGCCAGGCCCCCAGGCTGCCAGGTCCCCAGGCTGCCAGGTCCCCAGGCTGCCAGGTCCCCAGGCTGCCAGGCCCCCAGGCTGCCAGGTCCCCAGGCTGCCAGGTCCCCAGGCTGCCAGGGCCCCAGGCTGCCAGGTTCACAGGCTGCCAGGCCCCCAGGCTGCCAGGTCCCCAGGCTCTCAGAATCCCAGGCTCCCAGGCACACAGGCTTCCAGGCCCCAGGCTCTTAGAATCCCAGGCTGCCAGGCACACATGCTCTTAGAATCCCAGGCTCCCAGGCACCCAGGCTCTCAGAAACCCAGGCTCCCAAGCACACATGCTCTTAGAATCCCAGGCTCCCAGGTACACATGCTTTCAGGATCCCAGGCTTACAGGCACACAGGCTCCCAGGCTCCCAGGCTCTCAGGTCCCCAGGCTCCCAGGCCCCAGGCTCCCAGGCATCCCAGGCTTCCAGGCACACATGCTCTTAGAATCCCAGGCTGCCCAGGCACACAGGCTCCCAGAATCCCCAGGCTGCCAGGCTCCCAGGCTCTCAGAAACCCAGGCTCCCAAGCACACATGCTCTTAGAATCCCAGGCTCCCAGGTACACATGCTTTTAGAATCCCAGGCTTACAGGCACACAGGCTCCCAGGTTCCCAGGCTCTCAGAAACCCAGGCTCCCAGGCACACAGGCTCTTAGAATCCCAGGCTTCCAGGCACACATGCTCTTAGAATCCCAGCCTCCCAGGCACACAGGCTCCCAGATCCCCAGGTTCCCAGGTTCCCAGGCTCTCAGAATCCTAGGCTCCCAGGCACACAGGCTCTCAGAATCCCAGGCTGCCAAGCTCCCACGCTCCCAGGTTCCCAGGCTCTCAGGTTCCCAGGCTCTTAGAATCTCAGGCTCACAGGCACACAAGCTCTTAGAAAGCCAGGCTGCCAGGTCCCCAGGCTGCCAGGTCCCCAGGCTGCCAGGTCCCCAGGCTGCCAGGTCCCCAGGCTGCCAGGTCCCCAGGCTGCCAGGTCCCCAGGCTGCCAGGTCCCCAAGCTCCCAGGTCCCCAGGCTGCCAGGTCCCCAGGCTGCCAGGCCCCCAGGCTGCCAGGTCCCCAGGCTGCCAGGCCCCCAGGCTGCCAGGTCCCCAGGCTGCCAGGTCCCCAGGCTGCCAGGTCCCCAGGCTGCCAGGTCCCCAGGCTGCCAGGTCCCCAGGCTGCCAGGTCCCCAGGCTGCCAGGTCCCCAGGCTGCCAGGTCCCCAGGCTGCCAGGTCCCCAGGCTGCCAGGTCCCCAGGCTGCCAGGTCCCCAGGCTGCCAGGTCCCCAGGCTGCCAGGTCCCCAGGCTGCCAGGTCCCCAGGCTGCCAGGTCCCCAAGCTCCCAGGTCCCCAAGCTCCCAGGTCCCCAAGCTCCCACGCTCCCAGGCTCTAAGAATCCCAGGCTGCCAGGTTCCCTAGCTCCCACGCTCCCAGTCTCCCAGATTCCCAGGCTCTCAGAATCCCAGGCTCCGAAGTAAACATGCTATCAGAAACCCATGCTTACAGAATCCCAGGCGCCCACGCTCCCACGTTCCCAGACTCCCAGGCACACAGGCTTTTAGAATCCTAAGCTTCCAGGCACACAGGCTCTCAGACACACAGGGTCCCATGCACACAGGTCGCCCATGGCTGCGGTCCAATCCTGGCCCCAAACCGCCAGATAAATATGCTCCTACATAAAATTAACTTAGCCGAATGCTAGTTTAAGCTTTGTTTACATTTCATGCATTTGCTGGCGCCTAGCGCTTGCATCGATGTAGCCCCCAGTAATAGCACATTGCATTACATTATCCATGAAAAGATTGTAAAATTTTAATTCACTATAAGCTCAGCAAATTGCAAGGGTAAAGGGCTCATCTGGACGCAGTTTGCATGCCGTGCTGCCGGCTTGCGCAAGGAATCTCTGCGCGCGCTCCACGCCCGCGCGCGCCGCGAGCACCAGGATAAACTACAACAAAATGTCTTTTGCTTCGTGCAAAAATACGTTGGTATGTGTTGGTATGTGTGCCCGGAAAGCTGTGCCGGACGGTCGACCGTCCGGCATACCGTCCGCCATGGACGGTTCCACCGTCCGCCAGGGGGGGTATATGAACCACACATCGCACGCCGGTTTGGGGATCCTGGCTCGAAGTGAGGCCCACCCTGGAGTCAGTTGGTACCGCTTTCATGTACTTCCACAAACAAACATTACATAATGCCAAATGAACGGGCTACAGAGACTGCATAGCTAAAGAAAAGTTATTGCTTTGCACGCGCGGGCACCTCCGACTTCGACTTTGCCGATGATGACGACAGGACTTCTCGCTTTGTACCCATCCAAAAGCACCGAAACGCATAGGGTTGTTGTGGAATATTGCACACGGAATAGATTGCGTGGTCTACTTTAAGGGCGCGCATGATGCCTCATGGAAGTGCTCGGCCGACGGACTGAAGCGGCCTGCGCCGCCGAGCAGATGGCCAGGGCTGCACCCTGGCTGGACGCGGCCCTCGGATGCAAGGTGCCCTCCGGCGCATAGAAGCTGGATGGCTTTCAGACTGCCGGTCATGGGACCCGGGAGGCGTGCTGCTGGTGCGGGGCAAACCAGGGCTGTCGGGTGACCGTCGGAGATGGCTGGGTGCACCACCAACTGATATATACACAGGGACGAATCCTAATCGGGGCGCTCGGCGGTACTCCGCCTGGAGCAAGCAGGTTCAACTCCTGCCGTCCTGATCCTTTCATCATCCTCCCACAAAGAGTCCCCCCCAATTCTTGTACATCACAGCGCACTCCTAGACCGGCTGGATTTGAGGAAGGTGCGCCCGTCACCGCTGCGCCAGCGGCAGCAGTGACGACCAGCCTGGTCTGGGCCAGGTGTCGCGGACGGTGTGCATTTGATTAAGTGGTTCACCCTTTTTGGCAGGCAAAATGGACGCAGACGCGGAACACAGTGCTTTAACCACACAGCATCAAGCACGCTACACGGCTAAAAATCAATATGCTTAAACTTGCTGTCATATGCTTAAAAGAAAAATTGTTGCAGATTCCGCTTAGCAGGTAGAGCCAGCGACGGGTAGAATTCAGTTTAGGCTGTACGACTTGAGGGCTATGTTCATTGGCCTTCTGTGCACGCAGTCCTGGGGGCCCTGACTCGAAGTCAGCCCCACCCTGGAGTTAGTTGGTACCGCTTTCATGTACTTCCTCAAAGATACTGCTTCTCTAGTACTGTGATGTTTTATTTGTTATATTCATGATAACTGAACTGAACTTGCAAGGCGCCACCACAGTTGCCGGTGCCATTAAAGGACACCCGTCCTGGGACACAGGCTCAGGCACAGAAATAGACTTAACGGGTTACATAAAACATAGCTATAAGCGTAAATAAACAAAGCCATGGAGTTTGTCCTGGACCCGAGCCATCTGCTTGCATCGCGAAAACCACGCGTCGCGCGCTGCAATGCCAGTAAAGTTTGCCATCGCCACAAAAAAGCAAAGCAAAACACACGTTGATAAAACAAACAACAACGGGGATAACGGCTCGCCGGTCAACACCCTCGGTCGCGGCTCAGTTTCTAAAACACAAAGGGGCTAAAGTCCCAACACAGCTACCAAACATACACACCGCTATATGACTACTCCACAATAACACAGTAATCCTCCTCTTCTTCCAGCTGAACTGCCGCCATGCCAGCCGTCCCCGCGCCGATGCCCGTCTCCGCCGGCTGAGTACGCGCGCGCGGCACCAGCGGGGGCACGCCAGCCGCCCGGGGCCCTGCCGATGACCGGCCCGCGAGGTCCTCAACGTCCTGGATGAAGCCCTGGACATCTTCCTTACCCTCTGCACTTGGAATCACCCCGAACACGATGGGGATGCCATTGTCGTGCTGGTCCACCACGAGCAAAGAAATGACCGGGTAGTTGTAGCTCGTGAGGCCGTACGTCGCATCCATGAGTACAATCCGGCCCACGTACAATTTCAGCAGCTGCACCAGCCACGGTGCCGTGAGCGTGAGCCGAAAGCCCTGCTGCACGACTCGCACTGCCGGCCCCCCTCCGGCTGCTGCAGTCACCCCTGCCGTCGCCGCCGCTGCTGCTGCTGGCATAGCACTCCGCCCCCCCGCCCCCACCGCCGCTGCCGTGTTACCCGGCCCCGCCATCACCAACTCCAGGGTGGGGCTGACTTCGAGTCAGGGCCCTCCGGTCGTCTTGCGCCTTGTTCCCTATAGAGACTGTACGGCAGTATCATTTATTTACCTAAGAGGTTACCTTTTTAGGGTTAGAATGAAAGGAAGAATCATTTTCAACCTAAGAGTTACAGCTTTTCAGAAAGAACTAAGAACTACTACTATAAGAACTACTACTACTATTACAATTTTTTGGCCGATCATTGGCGAGCGCAATAATGAGTGGTAGCAATGAAGGATTTGGTAAATTCGGTCTCGGGCACTCAAGGGACACCTAAGGGACACGGAAGGGATACTGTAAGGGATGAGCTTCTTCCCCTTTGGGGAGAACCTTCGGTGTCAAAGGGGTGGCACTGGAGGGTACCTTCCTGTACCACCCTGCCACCGGAGGGTACCCTCCTGTACCACCTTGCCACCGGAGACTACCCCCCTGTACCACCCTGCCACCGGAGGCTACCCCCCTGTACCACCCTGCCACCGGAGGATACCCTCCTGTACCACCCTGCCACCGGAGGGTACCCCCTGTACCACCTTGCCACCGGAGGATACCCCCCTGTACCACCCTGCCACCGGAGGCTACCCTCCTGTACCACCCTGCCACCGGAGGGTACCCCCTGTACCACCCTGCCACCGGAGGGTACCCTCCTGTACCACCCTGCCACCGGAGGATACCCCCCTGTACCACCCTGCCACCGGAGGGTACCCCCCTGTACCACCCTGCCACCGGAGGATACCCCCCTGTACCACCCTGCCACCAGAGGATACCCCCCTGTACCACCCTGCCACCGGAGGGTACCCCCTGTACCACCCTGCCACCGGAGGGTACCCTCCTGTACCACCCTGCCACCGGAGGGTACCCTCCTGTACCACCCTGCCACCGGAGGGTACCCTCCTGTACCACCCTGCCACCGGAGGGTACCCCCTGTACCACCCTGCCACCGGAGGGTACCCCCCTGTACCACCTTGCCACCGGAGGGTACCCCCTGTACCACCTTGCCACCGGAGGCTACCCCCCTGTACCACCCTGCCACCGGAGGCTACCCTTCTGTACCACCCTGCCACCGGAGGCTACCCTCCTGTACCACCCACATTTTTTAACTGGAAGGGCATTGCCTCGTGATGAATCAGCACTCGTGAAGAGCAATGTTTTTGCAATCATTGAAAGGTGAAGCTGCAGAAGATGGCAGTTGCTCGTAGCAAACCCAACAGCTGGGGCCCCGGGCCCCACCGACAGTATCCTAGCATGGCAGGACCGTAGTAGGGAATCTCCGGCAGGTAGGCCGAGATGTAAGCTACCCGGGCGGGGTGCTATTGCCAGGCACTTAAGTATCACGCGTACGACTACTTGGTGTTTAGAGTTCAAGACTCTGCTGCCGCCGTCTCAGATTGTTTCGTACCTGTGTATGTACACTAGTGCTTGTCGCTGGGTTGGACTTCTTCCTGCCTCAGCGAGGACTCTAAATTCCACGCTTCCGCAAAGCCAGTCATCCCGCCAGGTGAGCGACTGCTACAGTTTTAGTAGCCCCAAACTCTTCTGGTGGGGGCTTGTAGAAAACACATGAGTCTGCCAGGCTCTCCATGGCAAGCAAGGATGATCCCATTTGGATTCAGCTAAACATGGCAGTGGCCTCGGGGCGCCTCTTGTTTTTCATGCAGCTGCAGCAGCCAGGGATGGTGTTGGGCAGTGGGGTGCAGCAGGTATGTCAGGCTGCACGCCAGGTTTTTGTACAGGGGCCAGGGCTGATAGCTGAGTTGCTGAACAGGTGTTGAGTTGTTTGTCGTACACGCACAAATGTTAGGGTACGGCACTTGGCGCAGCTCACAGTTTACCGCACACGTTTTAGCATAGATAGATGACAAAAGCCTTGTGATGCTTTATGCATGGTGTGACGTGTTTCCTTGTAGAATAGGATAAGTGATTATGTTTGGCTCCAACAGGTACAAGTCCTAGGTTCAATATATGCATAGTTCTGAGTAATGTGCAGTCATCTGGTCAGATTAAGATTCCAAAGCTGGGGCCGGTGGATATCACTGAATGATGATCGTTTTTTCATCACGACCACCCCTTAAGGGTGTATTTCCAGTGCGGATTAAGGCCAGGGATTAACCCTCTGTCCTCCATCGATACTTGCTCAAACGGCTAAGTTGTTAGCAGACTTACCTCGCCTTTTCAACCTTTGGTTCCCTTATGGAACAAAACTATGTGGTAAGCTCGTACGAAGGACTTCCGTGCCCTAATCCCTGGCCTTAATCCGCACTGGAAATGCACCCTAAGAATCCCACATTTTTAAGGCTTAAGAATGTAAGCAGCAAAAAGAATTTCCTGAGTATAGGACTTAAGAATGAGTGCCATACTTAGCAAACCTATGGTAAGAGTTGTTAAAACCGGCCAAAGAGCAGCTAAGTATGCTGTAGACTAAGAATCAATAAGTTGGCCTAAGAACGTATAAGAACAACCCAAAGAATGGAAGAGAATACATAAGACTACTGGGCCCTAAAGAATGCTACATAAGACTGCTCGGCCCTAAAGAATTTCAAAGAATGGTTTTAAGATAAACGGAGGTCATACGAACGTTCTTAGAACGTTCTTAGAACGGTGTAAGAAGTTCTAATGGTTATTAAATTTTATTAATTTGGCTGGGCTAAGACTTAAGAACGTTCTTAAACCGCCTCCGTGTTCGTAGGGTATTCCACATGATGAGCAAGTGAGGTGACCAGGGCGACCCAACTGGGTCTGCAGACTGTTGTGTAATACATATGTATGTATATAATTCCTGACGAATGTGGTTTGTGCCTACCCATGCAGTACAAGCTTCTATCCCCAATGATGGCAAATAGATACTGATGACATGAATAGTGAAGTCAGACAGCCTTCCAAAAATATGAGAATGTGTGTATTCAACAGTGGACAGGGAATCATGTAAAAGCTCATAAAATTTACAGTGTCTTAACCTCAAAACAGCATTTACAATTCTTCAACTGCAGTTCAGCAAATTATCTAATGGCAACAGCCAGTAACATGATAGAACTTCACTTTCAGCATGTCCCTACTCCTAACAGCTTTCAAGGCCTGTTAGCAACTACACCCATTGTCACCACTTAACAGCTCAAGTGAATTGAACAATTGCTAACAATCAGCTTCCCAAAACCCTAACAGCCGTCAAAAATTCTTTCTCAGCATCTGGGTGACCCACCCAGAGCGTAACATCCTGTCAACAATATCCTGTTGTGGCAGACAGCGCTCAGTTACAGGTCTTTACAGCTGCTAACAGATCCTAGAAGCGGACGACTGTTAACAGTGTGGGCTCCAGGTATATGTCAGTCACAGGGCCAAACAGGACAAGACAGCCTCTAACCCAGTGCCTAACTGCAGTTAGGCAGCCAGCTGGCTGTTATGCAACGTTGATGACTATCGGCATAGCATAATGTATGACCGGTCCTCACATAGCCAAACACGCAAAAGGCAACGACTCGAACGTCGAACAAACACCAAAACAGCAAGATAAGCCTGAAAATTTCCTGATAAAGGCGTTTGGGACGGCGGTGCTGTTGTCGGTAATGCATCGGCAATGGTGTTGCTGCCAGCGGCGACCGATGACACGGGCGCCATTACCCCTGCCATCCATGGCGGGTGTGATCAGCCTAAGCGCAAGCTGTCACCCAATCAGCTCGACAACAACGACAGTGAATGCGGCGAGGCCGGTGATCCATTTCAGGCGCCCAACCCGAGCCAACGAAAACGCGCCAACTCAGTGCGTGCCTCTTGGTCTATGAGGGGAGTTGTAACTTATCGGGGGGGGTCTGGGGGGGCCGTAG